GGAAAATCTTTTATCTAGTAGTATATCAATTACATACAGAAAAATAACTTTTAAGAGAGTGTGAAGAGAGTTCTTTGGCCAATTATATTTCATATAACATTGTTTACAAAAACAAAGGTATGAAATAAATACATTTAAAGAAAAAGTTGTAACTAAACAATCATCATCACTAAACCTGATATATTTTAAACCTATACACCAACCAATACCAAATATTATTGGGCTAGAAACAGCTGTAATATTGATATTATAGCTGTTTCTAGCCGGATATAATTTGGCATTGGTTGGTGTATAGCTTTAAAAGTTGTAACAGTTAGTATACAAATGTTTGAAATCTAGATGACAAATAGCCTATTTATAAATTACAAAAAAAAACATGAATTAAGATAACACTTTTATATAAATGAATCAAGCATATTCCTAAAACTCTTCTAGCTTCAAAAGAAATGTATTTAGTCTTAAACTAACAAGTAAAATTTATTTGCAGCATGTAATATAATTTATAGTATCTTAAAGTACATATGCAATAGTTTCTAAAATGCTATATTATTTTTAATAAAGTATTTTAATATGTTTAAAATCTAAATACATGATTACTTTTATTGCTGTTACTTTTTGAATAATATATGAGCCATTCACAAGCCAAATCGATTAACTCTACATTTCGAAGATTTTTAAACTTTAGTGTCAAAGCACTTGATACACTCATAACTTTTTATATTCATAATAAGTTTCCCTAATAATAAGGATCAATGCCACTTAATGACAAAATTTTATTGGACATCAAAACAAATTTTATTTATTTCAGAAGCCAATCTAATTAACTCCACACTATAATGTAAATCCACCAGTGCACACTGCAGCATTGCAATTGCAGTGTGCACTGACCAGTGCCTTGTAGATAACGGTAAATTATTTAGTTATCTCATCACAAAAAGTAAGTAAAAGAAATTAGTTAGTTACAGTCCAACTGCTGCAGAAGTAAGTATATTAGTGGATTATTGAACAATTTAAAATTTGGTGGCAATTGTTTTTAGAAAAAAGAAAACTTATACCATTACATCAAGATGGATGAAACTAAAAATGTTTCACTCCTCCTATTAAACATGATTCTTATAAAAATTTAAGAACAATTCAACATGATGGGACAAAGAAGACATCATTTATGTTGCTGAATAATCAATTTCAACAAATTAATAACCACCATTTTTACTAAACCACCATTTTTAATAAACACAGAATAGTTATTATTCATTTTTGTAAAAAATCTCTAATAAAAAATGTACAATAATGAAGACTAAGTGAAGACTAAGTTTGATGTTATTACTTTTTTTACTTGCCAAATCTATTAACTCCCTCAATCATATCAAAACTGTATTAATAATAACAATTATGGCATATCTATGCGATTATGGCCTATCTTATACATTTTATATGTTGTTAAATCTACAATAATACATTCTACAATGTTTATTTGAATTTGTATTTTAAAAGGAATTTTAAAAAAGAATGTATATTATTTCGTCACTTTTTTCCATTTTTTTGTTTTATGGAGTTAATTGATTTGGCAAGTGAACGACAAACATCATTCAGACTAATTTTAAATAAGCTGAACAATTTTAATTTTGTAGAGATGCAATTCTCAGTTTATATTAGTCAATTGTCAATGACAGACAATTCTGTTTTAGATTTTGTCAATAAACCTAATTTAATTAGCAAAAATGATCAAAATACTAGATTATGATTAAAGTAATTAAAAGATTTAATAATAGCAATACGTATATTTGTAGAATAAATCTCATCAGAAAACTTTATATTTGTAAATTTACATTAATTTAATAATATTTTGATGTCTAAAAAAATCCATTCAAAATAGAATTCAAATTTACCATTCCTTGCCAAATGAAAATGCAATGGCAGTTATCCCATATGGAATTTAAGTAAAGTTTGCTCAGATATACTATTAATTTTGAATAGAATATAATTATAGCAATTGTCATGCCAACTGAAAAAGTTTGGTGTCAGCACCCTTCCAAATAGCACATAACTGGCCATATCTTCAAATTCATATTCTAATTGGAAACTTCTGGAATGAGAATGACATCACTGACAATAAGCAAAAGTTATACTATATTATCTCAAATATTAGATTATTACTGTAGTTTTAAATCCTATTCAGGCAACACAAATTTATATTTAATTACAATTTACAAATTATCAATTTCAAAAGATTGCAACATAAGCATATTGACAACTTTTGGAAACTTCACTAATTTATAGCAATAACAGCAACAACTATTCTAATAAATTTTATTCAGTTTTTATAATCATTAAATTATTTAATTAGTCCAATTAAGTAATTTAATGATTATAAAATTTAACCAAATTTTGCCAGATTTTTTGAAATTTTTTAATTATTAAATTAACTATCCACATTGTCAAGATAAACAAACCGCATGTTAAATGCTGTTTTTGTAAGTCACTTATTTGGAACTTAGGTACACTTTTATTACTAATTATTAATGAATGCAGTCTACCATATTGCTCTATACATCCATATTTGTTTTTTTCAGATAAAAACACTCAAGCTTGGAAATCTCTTAGGCCATTAAGTAATAAAATTCTCAACCTTCCTATAAACATACAAAAAAAATCAACTAAATTATATTCCAGTCACTTCATAAATATGTTTTTAAAATTATATTCAGTTTACATTCTAAACATTATATTTTATATAAATTTTCTATCAAACTATCATCATATTATAGTTTCTTTTGCTTTTCTTCTTTTACTTCAAATAATTGCATTAACCAAATGAATTACTAATAAATAAAAGCATTCTTATTAAAGTAATTCATTGTGGTAGATAATGCTTTGAAATCAATCCTGGAAAAAAATGACTGATTGTTAATAATACAATACATTTAAAAATTAAAATTTATCATTTTCAAATCAAATTTATTAAATAATGCTATCAATATCTTTTGTCAGTGTATTTTTTTTTTTGGTCTGTTATTTCATATATAAAACATACAACATAATATTAAATCTAAAGTATTTTTGAGAAATTTTGTCTCTCTTTAAAAACACAAATGTTAATACTGTACATTTTAATATGTTTTCTAACAAAAGAATAAAAAGTCAAACAAAAATTGTAATTGTAATTTAATTGCTATTATTCATTTATATATACTGTATTTGACAAACACTTTTAGTTTATATTAGAAAATAAATTATTATATATGCATAGTTTCAGAAATATAAAATGTAATACATTTTTGATATTATGCATTATACTATAAAACAAAATATTTTCAATAAACTTTTTCAGAATCTTTACTTTAATATGTAGCAAAATAACAACAAAATAGGCATCTTAACATAATTTCTAGTGTCTAAATAAACAAACTGTAAACTACTTCTATTATTCTATTTAAACTAGTATATTGATAATGTCTTTGAATAGATGGAAAAAGTGGTGTGCATACCAAAACAATTAATTTCTTGTAAGTAAAACTGTGGTATGTTATAAATTTTATGAGAAGACAAAACAAGTTAACAATGTTTTTTAAATGATAAACAACTTTTATCATTTCATTATGTTAATATGATCAAATGAAATGTACGTTGCTTTTAATCTACTCATAAATGAATTATCGTTATACCCATCACAGAATTAAATATGTCAAATTCATTTATATCATTCAATTTCAAATTTATTTCAGTCAAACATTGATTAAATTAATTTTTAAATTCCCACACTGGTTTAAATTTGACCCTTTTCATGGTATAATTGAAAAGCAACAATTCACAACATACAATCTTAACAAATCATGAAATGTAACAAAAGAAATTAGTAAATTTGATCAGAAAAAGTTTCATCATGGAAATACTAAACTGGAAAAATGAGATAGAAAGTAATCCTAAAAATTTTGTGGAATGAACAAACCACACAATTGTATTGTCCCAATATATCTCAAGACAGGATGACAACAACAGCTTTGTCCCGTCTTAGTATAAGATCGAAAACATTTAGCCAGAAATTAAGTATATTAAAGTCATTTACCGGCGATTTAAGGTTTTATTGCGTGTAATATCGACAACAGTCTCGCCATCTTTCCAAAGAACAGCAAAGCGAAGGGAAATTGACCAGACCAGTAGTAGACTGAATGGATGGTACCAGTAGTGCCATCCATTCAGTCAAATTTTCCAAGACAACCAATTCCAAGAAAGACAGACAGGAGAGAAATTAGAAAACACACAATATATTTGGTACAGAAACAGCCAATCTATGGGTAACTCAAAGACTTCATTCAAACTCTACCAATCATCATAGAGAGAAACTTTCTTTGATTCATTAAGTTTAGAACGATTAAGTCACAAACAAGTCAGAAATATAAGTTCTTTAGTATAATAAATGTTTATAAATATACACGAGAACAAATTTGATGGGAAAATTTTTTAAGTCCGAATTCGATAAAATTTTGTCAAATTTTCGACGAGTTAATCATGGAGGTTAATTTGGACAGAATTAGTCGAAAGGTAAGAGGATTTTGCGACAAAACTTACACGAAAGATTTGGAACGTATCTGAAACATAACACGTATTTTGAACGATACGAAAGAAATAAGCCATACTTGATTGCATTCATGTCTTTAGAAGCCATATTGGATTAGCCACACCTGGATATATTTAAGAAATTATCTAAATCCTGCCATGTGTTATATAGCAATGGTTAAGAGTTCTTAAAGAGAATAATAAAACGATTGGAGATTTGGTCGGTGGTGACATTTAAACTAATGCTAATAGCGTGAAAAATTAAAAAAATCAAAAAAGTCATTCATATTTATAAAAGCGTAGACGTTTCGATTAATTCGTTTCAAAATCGTTGAAGGGAAGAATATTTCGTTAATAGCAATAATTAATTGGAATTATTGTGTGGCCACCGAGGCCATTTCGATTCCCGAAAATAGGCATCTTTATAATAAGTTAATCCTTACCCTATACAGACGTATCTAAACCCCAATCGCTTCCTGTATTTCGATGTTTTATATTTAAAACATCCGATTTTCTATGGATATAAGTCAAGATGGCGGAATCGAGATGAGGACAATCATCCGATTAAATGAAATTCCTTTAAAATATCCAAACTGGTAGAATAATCTTTTCTCTTTAAAAACACACGTTTATAATAGGAATCCGAGGATTAATCCCTTCGCAACATATCGGTTCATCCCGGGTAGAAATAGTCACGTAAACAACATCCATTTTAACATATCCGATTCGAAGCGAAGATCATCATTATCATCATCATCATCGTAAAAAAAACCCCGACTTTTCAAACTGACCCGTCAGAGGGAGCAAAAGTCGCACCGGGGCACGTGACCTACGTCGAATGACGTCAAAGGACAACACGCGCGCATTGTTACGACGAACGATCCCGAGACGGACCGAGAAGACGCGAGAATGGCCGCTAGTCACACGCCACTTGCTAAAGGAAGGAATTTTCCTTCCACCTTTCTCATCTCCGATTTCCGGAGAAAATTGACCGAAGGACCAGAAATTGACCCTGCCAAATATTTCGCCCGCCCACTACCTCCGAAGCTATCGCTTTTGTTTTCCTATAAAGAACGGACGAACGCGCAGTGACGCGATTTTTAGCGTTAAACCAATTTTTCAGATTTTAGTTTGTAAAACGCATCGGCGCCGAGTGACAGAAAAACCCTTTCTTCGGACAACTACCGACATCTGGCGTTACTATTTTTGCTCTCAAACTTCATCCTTCGCCTCCTTAATTTATTATTTCCCAATTAAATCACAGCTAATTTCATTCGAAAATAAACCTATTTTACGCAATGCATTTCTAGATATTTACCACCTAATTTAACGCGATATTTTAGTGTAGATTGCTCGCGTTGTATGAAGTATTAATAAAATTTAAAAAAATTAATTAAAAAAAATGGGTCGAGTCGCTAGCGGTGTATCGTGGTACGGCGCATGGAAATTGTTAAACTGTGACACTGCATCGAAGATTTGACCAATCCTCTTTCGACTGGTGAGATGTAAATAGACAATTGGTGGAAGTGATCGGCAAACGCCGCAGCAAAGATATAGAACTCTATTCCATGATACCATCGAAAGTGACGACGTTTGCGGTTTCGATTGCACTTGTTGCTATGGAAACAATCCCAAGAGACATTTCTTCGGCGGCTAGTCGCAACACTAAGGAAACTCCGACTTGCCGAATAGTTGTTGCTGACCGTTTAACGCAGCCTAAAATGATAGTTTCGGGTTGTAAAGATAAAATTTAGACATTTCGATTTTTTTTTTCTAGAAACGATTTAAAAACTTGTTCTGTAACGTTATATATATAAGTACAGTAACCAAAGGGCGTTTCATCACATATTTCATCAGAAATAGACACATTCGCCAAGTCTGAAAATATAAAACTTTCGAAAGAACACATTCGCGTTCTATTGATTTATCGCTTCAAAAGTGACTGACCACAACGCAACCAAGGATTACCATGTCATCTGCAAAGCGTTTGTTAAAGCGTTCGTGGATGAACGAAGATCAACCAGCTGTTGCAAAAGTTAAAAGAACCGATAGTGCAGAAGGCTTTGATCTGCGTTTGTTTCGCGTCATCACGATGGAGACGCTTCTAACTAACATCACTCAACAGTGATGTTAGTTAAGTCACTTTTACGACAAACGTTCCAGCGATCCAGCTGTTCACAGTAGAGTTCTACCGTAACCGATAGAACTCTACTCTGTACAGCTGGATCGTTTGAACACCAATATTAAAGAAGTTTGTCGTAAAAGTGACAAAGTCCGATACAGACACGACAACGCGCCAGTAAATGCAGCAAAGATGACGTTAAAGAAACTGGCTAATCTGGGATGGGAGATTCTGCCTCATCCACGTTACACCCGACTTTGCGCCAACTGACTACATCTACAGTAATTTGCACCCCTTCAGATCCATATTGCCATATAGGACTGATTGAAACCTTTTTGGTTGTGCATGCAATTTCCAACAGATGGTGTGCTTAAGCAAAGAGGTTTAATGTTAATTCACACTGATTCGATAGAGAAACGCGAAAAGCAAAACGAATTTTACGATATTAGTGAAGACATAAGAGAAGAGTGTTTTTTGTTTAGCAAATCGCATTGATAGTCCAACGTCTTGAGCTCTTTCGCTAGCGAAAAATATTCCCACTAACCAGAACGGTAGACCTGTTGATGTAAAGATGGAGAGAAAATCCAAGACTACAGCAACGAAGATTTCATACGTTATCTATACCGAAAAAAGGTTTTGACTGAAATAAACAATGCTCCGTTTCTCTCTCTCTCTCTCTCTCTCTCTTTTCTTTCTTTTCTTTTTAATAAAAACATGCAACATGAAAACATTATTACCAATTTACTATTATCCATTTTGTTAGTATTACGTTTACTTCACAATTGATTAGTTATTCTGTTCGCTGCAAATCGTACTATTTATGTCACTGCTTTGTATGTTATACATGTAATTTATAAAATAATGTAAAGTTCGGTACTCCCTGTTATGTCTTATTGCTTAATACAATTAAGAGGTTTGATTTATAATATGCGTTACGTAATTTTGTAGGTTGGTATATGAGACAGTGTTACTGAGATTACACAGGCGATGAGATGATACTTAAAAACGACAAAAATAGAGTTGCGGAATTTATGGACGATGAAAAAATTCGAAAAACTGCAGTCGTTACGTGAGAATAAGTGGGCGGTCGGCTTTCAATACTTATGGTAATAAGAATTTTCGAATAAGACATTCGAATTTCGTTATAATTCGAGTTTGCGCTCGATTCGATATATCGATCTCAAACTTGAATTTTCGCGAAAGTTGAACATCCGAACTACTATGATCTTATAATTTGCGCGTGTTTAAAATAACATGCAATAACTACAATTCTCAAAAGTGAAATCTCAACACCAGAAAGGAATGAGCATAGCCACATGTAGTGTACAGTACAGTACGGTACTTACATATAGGCTATAGTGAATGATAATGATTTTAATTGTTACAAAGTAAATTTAAATGATTTTGTATTTGGATATTTACTCCCAATTCAAATATTTAAACTTGGATTTTATTTCTGTAATCCATTACTATTTCTACCTCTATATTCGTAAATTTTTGTGGCGTGACTATTCGCATTTTCACCGGATGCTCGCCCTCTGGTGTTTAAAAACAAAACTATTCTATCTGGGTCGTTTTATTCATTCTTGTGTATTATCAGCAGTAAGGCCCTGTACACACTAGGCGTTTTTCAACGCGCGTTTAACGCCGAGCTAACGCGCGTTAGCTCGGCGTTCGACGAGCGTTAGTTCGACGTTTAGCACTGGCTCAGTTTGGAAATGGACGAGAAAGTAATTGATTGTGTGTGCTCCTCCATCGTCGNTGTTCTCAACTATAAAATTTATAATAAAAAGAAGACAATTTTAGGATTAAAGGATATTAAATATAATGTGAAAAGGAACTGTAAATTCAAATAAAGTTAAAAGGATGTTTCCAACACTAAGCAAATGCAAAAAAATTGCATCTTCTCAAGATTACTTTTGACAGTACTGCAAAGTTCCATCATTGTACTATGTAATTTCTTTAAATTTATAACCCTAGAACTTAATTCCCAAGCACTACAGTAAACATTAAAAAAAAAAAAAAACAGTTTATTTTAATGCAGATTGCATATTTCCAAATAAATAGTAAATGTGGTCTCTAAAAATATAAATTTTTGGCATAAATAACAAAAAACTGGATTAAAAATGTTACTTTTGATTTTATTTTCATTCCATCTAATGTGATCATGTCTGTTTAAAGCAGAGGAAAACATTTGTTTTCATTAAAATTTATCTGTTTTTATGCAGATTATAGGTGTATATTTGTGTTTATTAGTACATTAGATCAGTATAATAGCAGCAGCTGTAAATGAGCACTACACAAATGTTACTTTTTGATATTGGAGATTAAACTATTTGTTAATAGTTATTAAAAAATTATGATGTAAAATTAATAATAAGAGCTTTTTACAATTTTAAAATATTTATATAAAAACAAAAACATACAAATGGAAAATCTTTTATCTAGTAGTATATCAATTACATACAGAAAAATAACTTTTAAGAGAGTGTGAAGAGAGTTCTTTGGCCAATTATATTTCATATAACATTGTTTACAAAAACAAAGGTATGAAATAAATACATTTAAAGAAAAAGTTGTAACTAAACAATCATCATCACTAAACCTGATATATTTTAAACCTATACACCAACCAATACCAAATATTATTGGGCTAGAAACAGCTGTAATATTGATATTATAGCTGTTTCTAGCCGGATATAATTTGGCATTGGTTGGTGTATAGCTTTAAAAGTTGTAACAGTTAGTATACAAATGTTTGAAATCTAGATGACAAATAGCCTATTTATAAATTACAAAAAAAAACATGACTTAAGATAACACTTTTATATAAATGAATCAAGCATATTCCTAAAACTCTTCTAGCTTCAAAAGAAATGTATTTAGTCTTAAACTAACAAGTAAAATTTATTTGCAGCATGTAATATAATTTATAGTATCTTAAAGTACATATGCAATAGTTTCTAAAATGCTATATTATTTTTAATAAAGTATTTTAATATGTTTAAAATCTAAATACATGATTACTTTTATTGCTGTTACTTTTTGAATAATATATGAGCCATTCACAAGCCAAATCGATTAACTCTACATTTCGAAGATTTTTAAACTTTAGTGTCAAAGCACTTGATACACTCATAACTTTTTATATTCATAATAAGTTTCCCTAATAATAAGGATCAATGCCACTTAATGACAAAATTTTATTGGACATCAAAACAAATTTTATTTATTTCAGAAGCCAATCTAATTAACTCCACACTATAATGTAAATCCACCAGTGCACACTGCAGCATTGCAATTGCAGTGTGCACTGACCAGTGCCTTGTAGATAACGGTAAATTATTTAGTTATCTCATCACAAAAAGTAAGTAAAAGAAATTAGTTAGTTACAGTCCAACTGCTGCAGAAGTAAGTATATTAGTGGATTATTGAACAATTTAAAATTTGGTGGCAATTGTTTTTAGAAAAAAGAAAACTTATACCATTACATCAAGATGGATGAAACTAAAAATGTTTCACTCCTCCTATTAAACATGATTCTTATAAAAATTTAAGAACAATTCAACATGATGGGACAAAGAAGACATCATTTATGTTGCTGAATAATCAATTTCAACAAATTAATAACCACCATTTTTACTAAACCACCATTTTTAATAAACACAGAATAGTTATTATTCATTTTTGTAAAAAATCTCTAATAAAAAATGTACAATAATGAAGACTAAGTGAAGACTAAGTTTGATGTTATTACTTTTTTTACTTGCCAAATCTATTAACTCCCTCAATCATATCAAAACTGTATTAATAATAACAATTATGGCATATCTATGCGATTATGGCCTATCTTATACATTTTATATGTTGTTAAATCTACAATAATACATTCTACAATGTTTATTTGAATTTGTATTTTAAAAGGAATTTTAAAAAAGAATGTATATTATTTCGTCACTTTTTTCCATTTTTTTGTTTTATGGAGTTAATTGATTTGGCAAGTGAACGACAAACATCATTCAGACTAATTTTAAATAAGCTGAACAATTTTAATTTTGTAGAGATGCAATTCTCAGTTTATATTAGTCAATTGTCAATGACAGACAATTCTGTTTTAGATTTTGTCAATAAACCTAATTTAATTAGCAAAAATG